TAATACTTCATTGAATTTTCATTTTATATACAGAGTTTCTCAGAAAAAGTGTTAGAGCCGAAGAGAGTTGGTTCTGTAAGTGTTTCTGAACAACAATTTTCTTTATCAAAATGTAAAGTGAGGCATGGTTTTTAAATTAACGAAATAACGAAAAACGTTAACCAATAAAAACACGTATAGGGCCCGCTTTCAGAACACACAGGTTTTTTATCACTAATTATATAAAAATGTATTGCTCTTCATTTTACGTTTCGTGATGAATGAAGTAACATCTCTTTCTTCCTTCAAACCTATAAGCCTTCAAGCCTATATTAAATTTTTGAAGTTGACAAATCATTCTATTTTACGATACATCTTAACGATAATCAATTAGTGTTTTTCGATGGTTTAATAGTGAAATCACATAATAGCTTTCGTTACGATACTAGGTTCTAACTAATTAGAAGGGTTTTGTGTTAAATTTCATCTGGATACATTTTATGTTGTATTTTTTTTTTTCATAAATTTATACATTGTGGATACACATTTTATTTCTAATTATTTAAGAACTAAGTACTTAATATTCAATGTACTGCATTTCAGGAGAACCCAGGGACGAGCCACCAACAGAACCAATCAGAGATGTGGAAATTGTCTTCCAAGTCAATAAACCTTCATGTTACGCAGTATATCATAACAACAATCATGTCCTGCTTGTCACTGGTTCAGTTTATTTTAGGTGTTTTGTTGGTGCTTAAATTATGCCGTTATCAACTAAAACCAAGTGTGATCTTTGAAGCTGATAAACCCTTATATTTCGTAATATGTGTATCTTACGGATAACAATCAGCTATTATCAATGGTGTAACAAAACAGAGCGATAAATTCATTATTTATAAAATTATTTATTAATTAATTATTGATGTTAGCGTTAAAAAGAAATTGTGGCCACTGACATTTTCTAGAAGAAAGATTTTACGGTTTTTTTTTCTAACTCCATGATTAACTTAATGAGTTAATGCGTATTTAATGTATGATTAATCGGCACTTTATTGACACTGACAAAATACTCAGTAACTATCAACGTTGCTCTTGATGCGTTAGCACGTTGATTGACGCTTCCCCCTTACCCGGGTGACGCTTATTTGGCTACTTGCAAAGCATCGTCATAGGTATTTGAGAAGATATTCCGCAGGATGTAATAAAACTACACTGAATTGTTAAAAAAGTAATATGAAAATGGTTTGGAAAATTATTTAGAATGTAAAACTTGAAAGCCTTCTATACAAAGTTGAAGTTTCCTTTATTATACTCAAGTACAGCTAGTGGTTTCAGTGTTGTATAACTGGCTTGAAGGAGATTTCAATGGAAACATGCACAGTAGTCAACGTGTTAAGGTGTTGTCAATCTACTCCCTTGCGTGCCTGATTACATCCTCGTCGGGGACTTCGATTGCCAATTGCCTGTAGCAATACATATGTATATTTGCATGCCAACATATTCTTGAACGAATTTATAAAATCGTTAAATAATAATTACTTACTGTGGTGCCGAATTCGAATTCTCACCGACTGATATATCAGATATAACGTTCGGTTGGTTCATGACATTCAGGTCCTCGTCATCTGAATCGTTGTAATTCGGATTTGGTCGAATCCAGCCGGGAGGCTGGTAACCCACGGCCCATACAGATACTTCCGGGGACTCTACGGAAAATAAGTAATTTGTAAGCACCTTACCCAGACACTCGTCGACACGGTCGATATAACATATATTATTCTATAGATATTATTACCGCGCTCAG